ACTTTGAATAATTCTGAAATGAAGGGAAACGACGGATTTTATACCGACAACGTAGAAGAATGCCCTGACAAATTTGCAGATCCTTTTCTGGCGCGCAATTTCTAACAGGGTATATCCAAGCCTTTTGTGGGAAGAATGAAGGGTATAGCTTTGAATAGTCAGAGCTATTTTGATAACTGCTTATGACGATATCATGTTTTAGCCAGCACCTCCAAATTTGCCGCAGGCTCGTCCAATATATTATTTTTGGGCTTTACTGTCTAGGAAGGTTTATCATGGAGGCTGGAAAGCCCAAGATGAAGAACAATTAAGAAGGCCAATTTACAAAAAACTAAGATAGATTATTGTGAATTCCGTCCAGGACCTCTTGAAAGACATTCAAAGAAATTGGCGTCTGGTAGAGCAGAATGGGCCACTCCTCATGATACGATAGTATAGTTTAGTTAAGTATTGAGTTGTAATTGATGATAACTAGTTGGTGTTTAAATAAATTATATCATTAAAAAAAATCCGATAAATTTTTTGTACTAGGACATACGTTATGTTACAAGGCGCCAGCCTCTATATTTACATAGCAGTGTTTGTCACCGAAATTACGTTATTATGGTGCATACTTTTGAGAGTAGGAATGATATTCAAGTATTCAATTATACTGCCTGTAAGTGCACTCTCGTACATTATTTACAATAAAGATTTCTTTTTCAACACATGTGGTTTCGATTGGCCCGGGAAATATGGGGGATTATAAACAGGGATAACTTAAAAAAGGCAAATAAACAATGTAAATATCAAGTAACCAAATAAGTTCCTGCGGTTGCCGTATATCGCACATTGCCATGGATGTTGTTGATCGATAGCGATTGTTTGTTATCTGTTGTTACTTTAGTATGAATCCTTCTTTTCTCACACACATAAAAAGTTGCTGAAAATTGTTACATACCTAGTTTTAATAATTGAAAATGAATATGTACAGCATTCGGAGATGATGCAGTTAGTTATCGAACAGCACAGAAGTGATTCAAAAAATTTTCTTCGGGGGATCTCAGTTTGAGCGATGAACCGCGCTCAGGGACACCAAAAATCATGAACAACGAGGATCTTCGACAGGTTGTGGACGCAAATCCCAGGATAAGGTGGCAAGAACTTGCAAAAATGTTCAGAGTGAGTCCTGAAACTATTCGTTTGCATCTTCATCAACTAGGAGAGATGTGGAAGTTGAGCAAATGCGTCGCACATGAACTGACAAATGATAAATTAAGTCGTCTTACCATTTGTTCAGCGTTTCAGGCAACGCTAATGAACCATTTCTTAATCGGTTATTAACCTGCGACGAAAAATGGATCTTGTATTCGAATTATATCCACACGCCCAAGGCTTCCTTGCACCCAAACAAGGTTTTGTTGTGTGTTTGGTGGACAGCAACTGGAATTGTTCATTATAAGTTTTTGGAAAGGGGTCAAACTATCACTGCTAACTTGTATTGTGGGCAGCTTCAACGAGTACAAGCAGCACTCATCCAGAAACAGCCTTCTTTGATCAATCGGAAGTGATATTCTTGCAGGATAACGCCAAGCCTCATACCGCAAAAGTGACCCGAGAAAAAACTTGGCTGGGAAACGTTACCGCACCCGGCCATATTCTCCCGAGATTTCGCCCAGTGGTTATAACCTTTTTTTGTCTCTTGACAACTGTATGAGGCACCGACAGTTCACAACTCGAGATGGTGTAGTAAATGCAGACCGCAAATTTTTGGACTCCAAATCCAGGGAGTTCTGCAATACCGGCATACAAAAATTGTTTCCACGTCGGCAAAAGGTCATTGAATGTGATAGTAATGACTTCGACGAATAAATAGTGTCTTATTGTTTCTCATTAAAAATTTATATTTTTCTACTTACTCTCTCGGTTTTATCTTTTGCGATAATTTTAATAGTAAAATGGCAACTTTTATACTATAATAAATTATTACATCTTAGATCGTTACCCGTTTGGAGACACTAAAGTCAAAAGCGGTGCGGTAACGGCGATATTCGAATCCTTTCAAACAATTCAAATACCATCCAGCGTTAAACGCTGATATCACAATCGGAATCGAAATCATCTGAGATGATCAGAATCGATTCGTTCAGGACCGGTCCAGCATCTGATGATGATGTACATCCTGCGGGATAAAAGCGGAGTGCTAGGAGCAAAATTCATATTCTTTCTTAGGAGGAATAGAGTTCAGGATCAAAATTAAGGAAACGTATTTCTACATAACATCCCATCAGGGCAGAGTTCCCCCAGGCTCGATTCTGGTGCCTACTCCTTATATACTCATGACATAACTTGTCCCATCCACTGCGAGATACTTCTTTATGCGGATGTCACTGCTCTGGTAGTCTTTTCACACCCGTCTGACCGGGTGAGTGAGGGGCTGCAAGATGCCGTGGATGAAGTACATATACAGGTATGAGTAGGCCCTCCAGTGGATGGCAAAATCAATGACTCCAAAAGGCATGCCATGCCGTCTACTTTACAAAGAAACGGCTTTGTGCTCCAGATGTCCCTGTCCCAAGGGAAACAAAACCGAATTGTTTGGGTAACATATTTACATAAAACTAGTGATGTGAGGCGAGAATATTCTCAAAACAATATATTCTTGTAGAAAAAATTCCGGCCGGTAATTTTCTCAAAATGCTTTTGCAGTATGGTGTACACGCGGCTTTACCCGGCTGGGCGTTACCGTCCGAAAACCTACTTTTAGCGAGCAAAACGGACAACGGGGAATCCCAGAGGTGTTTATTTGTATTTTGTTCCTGGCATAACCTGCAAGCATCGCAAGCGAATGACAGCATTAGAATTATTTCCGTTTGTTGAACTGTTCGAATTTTGTTAATGCCTGCGACTAGCGCGGCTACCGAAAGAAGTTTCACTACATATGGTTTCATACACTCTTCAATAAAGAAACCGACTGACAGCTGAGCGAGCCAGTAAAGTTACTTACATAGTTAATAATTTAAAACTATTGGACCAGGACCAGGTTTCAGCGATGTCCAAGCGGTCCGAATATGAAGAAAAGAACCCGTCTACTTTGCACTGCCAGTCGAAGGAGGGTCTTGAAAAAATAGAGGCAGTGAGAATGAAAACGTTGATCTGGACATTTTTTCTGACTCAGATTCTTCTTAAATTCATTTTGTTTAAGTCTGCTCAAGTTTTTAATTTGTTTTTTATTTTTTGTGAAAACGAGAATATTTTTATTATTTATCTCCGAAGATAAGTTATTATATTTTGTTTTGTTAATTTTCAATAAAATCTTAGATTCTGTGTTGGTTTTACTGCTTCTAGTAGGTCGTTCTTAGGAAATTCTCATTATTGAGAATATTCTCGAAAATATTCTGAAGTTTTTTGTTCTCCAGAATTTTCCATTACTACATAAAACTATGATTTATAAAACTCATATTCAAAATTTAACCAAAAATGCATTGGTTAACATTCCCCCACTTATATCCGCTTCCGTGCGTACCTTGCAAGTCATGCAAAATTCTTAGTACTAAATACAAGCTCCCATAGAAACCCCTTGTTTGGTGCCGCAGTGGATTATACTCCGGCTCAAGTACCTAAACACAACAGAAGGATGTATGAAAATGTTTTGATATTACTCTACCCTCCCCCTATTTTCCCACTTTCGCCTTTATCTTCTACCTAGCTGGGCTCACGAAGATTTTAGACAAACATCATTCTGACAGACAAGAGCCAAGGTCCTGCTGACAGCTCAAATACGACGAGACGAGACATTTCGTCTATCACCAGAATCGACACCACTACGGAGTGCGCATTGCTACTGTTTTTTTGGAACTGTAAAGCACTGATAAAATCATAATCTGTTTTTTGATGTTTCGCTTTGTGATTACACTGCCAAACTAACTACGAAAATGTGAAATACATTCTGCCTTTATTTTGAGAAGCATTGTCAGGGTATCCAATTGCTGCCTGATGCTGATTTTAGAATGATGGCACAACATGTCAGAGGTCTGCATTTTTATTGTGAAGCTTTTGTGTAAATGTGTCGAATTCATATTGTAGTGTAGAAATTAAAAAGTATTTTCAAGGTGTCTAGTTATATACGAAGCCAACTACAAGCCGCTGTGAACTTGCCTCCTTGCGCTCTCTTGTGATCTTTATTATTCAGGAACATCTCAAATCTATGTTGTGACTCTGGGTCATACATTTCGGCTCTGTGCCTACGGCCTGACCGTTGAGATTACGTTCCCTATCTACAGCTCCGGAGTCAGTATGTGTGCGTCTCTAGTCCCCCTTACCTTCGTCCTAATCCCCTTTCTGTACGCCCATGCTCCTTGGAGCGATGCGCGCGCTGGCTAGTGGCGAGCGATTCCCCGCTCGCCCTTCAGTACGCTTTTATCTATCGCACGGATAGGGTGTGTGCGTGTGCGTATGTGTAACATCGCGAGTTAAACGTTGTGTAACGTTCGAGAGAATAATATAAATGCAAAGGTAAGAGACAAAAACCTTAGTTTGACAATTTAGTGTAGATGGCTACCATTTGATATAAAATTGTCACGGTCTCGGATCACTCGGTCCAGACGTGAGACTCCCTTCTAATGCATCTTGGGCAAATTCGCTAGAGCATAATATGGGCACTTGTGTGCAAGCGCACAATGCCCATTCATAGGAAAATTGAAGGGAGTCCTGCAGCCGGATCCATCTACACAATGTTTCGCCCCGACCGGCCCGTCAAGTCGGCCCGACCAGCTGCAGACTTCGGCCCGACCGGCTGCAGACTTCGGCCCGACCGGCTGCAGACTTCGGCCCGACCGGCCGCTAAATTCGGCCCGACCGGCTGCGAATTTTGGCCCGACCGGCCGCTACGTTCGGTCCGACCGGCTGCAAATTTTGGCCCGACCGGCTGCAGAATTTGGCCCGAACGGCTGCAGATTTCGGCCCGACCGGCTGCATTTTTGGCCCGACCGACTAACTAATTATAGCACATCTGCTTCCAGATGGCGATGGCAACCAATTTTGTTACTCTGGGTGAACTCTGGTCCAGCCACGTTGAAATGGAGGAAGAAGATGAAGCGATATTTTCCAGAATCAAGGTCTTAATAGAGAACCATCTGCCAGACGGCTGGAGAGACTGGAAGGTGATTGACTGGAAGAAAGAAGATCTATTTGGGAAAAAGATAGACCACAAAGTATTGAACAAAATTCGCTTCGCCCTCCCCACATTGGAACTGGTGAAAGCGTTCTACCCAGAAGCAACATCGGTGGGAGAGAAAACCTACCGAAATATAAAATTGAGGCTTCTCGACTGGAACCTCTGTAGAGCATTGATCATGAGCCCACGGCAGGTAGCGTGTCAGTTACGAGGATCTATGGCTCAAGCGGAGCTCTTTAATAAGGCGGTGGAACCACTTAAACATACTATGCGTTCCAGAGAGCTGACGTCGGAGGTCTAATTATACGTCCCGAAGTAAAAGGAGACGGTGTCAATCGTCCAGCTCAGACGACGAGTACCCGGTCAGAACCGAGAAACCAATGAAGAGGAGGCGGCGAGTATTGTCTTCGAGCTCGGAGGAGGATGTCAATGAGACAAGGCTACGCCGCGTGGAAAGCATGGTCGAGAATCTTTACCACTTGGTCTCAGGAAATAAAGAGAACGATGGCAGCGTTATGAATTCGACGTGGCAAGCTCCAACTCCTACAGGTGAAGAGCTGTATGACGCCGACAGTATTGGCACATGTGGCAGCGTAAACGACTGGGACACGTTTTCCCCTGTCACTAGGGAAATCGAGCCTACAGTCCCTAGGGCGGACCCAGTAATCGAGACACAGGGCATGAAATGCCAGCGTTTCGGGGAAGAGACATGGAACAAGATTCGTTACGTGGACGCTCAGAAAAAACTCCACGCATCACCAGTCTTCAGTACTCTGAAGGTTAACTCATCCTTGTACAACAATGGACATGCAAGCCCAATGACAGATATGTTATCCAAAAGTGACCTGGCCTTCGGGACTATCTCACACGGTCTACTGAAGCAACGGAGAATCATACATGAGGCTCTGAAGGAGGCGGGGAACAAACACCCGGAAGCGGCAGACACTTTGAAAAAAAGTTTTTGCTGCTAACAGTGAATACAAGACCATCTCGGACGACCTGCTGCAGTTCGTTTGCGGAAAAAGGGCGGAAATCATCGAAAGTCGCAGGAAACTATACGAGCCTAAAAGTAGTTACTATAGGTCCATCGTCAATGAGATTCCTCCGTCAGGTACGCACTTGTGGGATGAAGAGCAGCTGAAAGATGTGGTTAAAATGCATGGAGTGACGAAAATTGCTCCTGTCCGCTGGCAGAGTAATTTGGGAAAAGTCGCACTGAGACAGAAGGTGCCTCAAGGAACTTCTCATGAAAAGTATCTGCGTCAAGGTTCATTTAAAAAAATGAAGAAGGCAGAGTTTAAGCATTCGCGTAAGCCGGGGGCGAAAAGTCATACCAAGCTAGCTCGTAAGGAGCAACCACCTTTAGATAAAAGGCGGAGTTTTTGACAGTTTTCAGGCAGGACAACTCGCCAAATATGTCTCTGCTTGGAAAAGTATGGGAGCCTCACAATCGATTCTCAGTATCCTGAAAGGCTACGTGATCCCTTTCTCAATAAAGCCACCAATAACAGTACTATCCCAACCGATACTAAACAAATTCGAGACACCAGCATCCACACAAATGGATCGAGAAATACAAAACCTCATAAATCAAAAGGTGGTAGTAAAACTGCAAACAAAAACAGGTTTCTTATCAAAGATGTTTTTGACGCCGAAATCGGGGGGCTTGTGGAGACCAGTGTTCAATCTAAAAAGATTGAACAGCTTCATCACGCCCAAGAAGTTCCGCCTTATGAACCATCGCAAACTGCCATTATTTCTCCAGGAAAGAGATTATATGGTAAAAGTCGACCTTTCTCAAGCATATTTCCATTTGCCAATAAAGCAAAAGCATTGGCGTTATCTGGGACTTTATTACCGGCAAAACATCTACGCTATGACAGCACTACCATTTGGCCTAAGCTCCGCTCCACAGGTGTTTGCAAAAGTTACGAACTGGGTGGCGAGCTACTTGAGGAAACAAAACATTCGAGTAATGGTCTATTTGGACGATTTTTTGATCGCAAACCAGAATCCAGAAGAACTAAAGCGAGAGGTATCCACCCTGATAGATACTCTCATAAAGCTGGGTTTCTGCATCAACCTGGAGAAGTCCGAAATAAGACCTACACAGAAATTGGCATATCTAGGTATTATGTGGAACACCATAAGAAATCAAAAGAGTTTACCGGAGGACAAAATCCACCGTCTGCAAACATCAATCCAAGCTGGAATCAAGAGCAAGACTTGGAGCTGGAAGCAGGTAAAGGCACTGCTAGGGAGAATGGAATTTTCCTCGTTTGTTATCCCATTGGGTCGACTACATTGCAGAAAGATACAAAGAGCAGTCAATCGGATGTCAGAAAACCAACCAAAGAAACTGTTCAATATAGACCTGGACGTATTGCGAGAGCTAAGATGGTGGGAGAAAAACTTAAAAGGGTCATCCATAATCTGCATGAAAGAACCGGAAGTTCATATAATAACCGATGCCTCAAACACGGGCTGGGGAGCCCAAGTAGGAGACACTTTGAGGAAAGGAAACTGGACAGAGCAGCAGGAAAAGTGGCATATCAACAAAAAAGAAATGTTCGTGATCTACTTAGCGCTAAGAAACCACCTAGATCGATTGGCAAACAAAACACTGTTAATTCAGACGGACAACAGGACGGTGGTTTCCTACTTGAGAAATCAAGGAGGAACCAAGTCGGTCACGCTTTTGGCATTGACCAGGAAGATCCTGGAGCTGGCACATCAATACAGTATGTCTCTGAGAATAGAACATATTCCAGGAAACTACAATATTGTGACCGACCACCTATCCAGAGGAAGGGATCTGCCAGACTGGCACTTATCAAGGATAGCTCAGAAGAGGATCTTCGAAAAGTGGGGAACCCCTTGCATCGACCTATTTGCGACTCCAGAATCAGCCGTCGTTACAAGATTTGTAACGCAATTCCCATGCAAGGAGGCAGAATTCGTCAACGCATTTACAAGAACGTGGGAGTACAAGCTAGCGTGGATATTCCCTCCTCCACCCCTAATACCAAGAGTTCTCCAACACCTCAACTATTGTCAGGGAGTTTTCATAATGATAGTCCCCAGGTGGGAAAGGGTGTTCTGGCGGCCCCTGCTGAAGAGACGTGCCATCGACCACCCGTTCACCATTCGGAATCTGAAGGCTCACCTGGAAGATCTTCAAACCAACCAGCCTCCTCCAAAGGTAATGGATTTACACCTGGAGGCATGGAAGATACGGGGTGGTCCGATATAGCGAATCACTGGTCAAAGGATGAAAGGAGAATCTTAGAAACATCCTGGCGCAAGTCAACTCTCAAAACGTATGCCGTTGCATGGAAAAGTTGGCAATCGTGGGCGAAGAAAAGAAGAGTTTCAGTTAAAAATCCAAACCCCACGCAGGTGGCTCAATACCTCTGCTTCCTACACAACACAAGAAAATTGGCGCTTAGAACGATCCTATTACATAAATCCTCAAAAATCGAGAATGCATCTGGGATCTAGTACACTGGACAACCATATATCTAGAAATATCAGAAAAGAGAAGGAACCTCCACTGTCGACCGATTCCTCAACTATTCGTCACAACTCGTGGGAAGATAGGACCGGCATCTCGGTCAGTGATAGCAGGATGGGTCCGCACAGCGTTGAAATCGGCAGGTATAGAAGGAGGAGCCGGCAGTACCCGCTCGGCAGTGGCAACATCCCGCTTCAATGATAACATGCCATTGGATGAGGTTTTGCAGAAAGGAAATTGGCAGGGATCAAGCAATTTCTTCAAACACTACTATAAAAATATCGATAAGGATTTGGTACCTGACAACAGCAACAGAAGACTTATTTCGGATAAATTTGTCCCTATATAAGTATTATCATGGCTGTGAGCCAAGAATGACTGTTACTTTTCTTTTTATGAACTGTTAGAGTTATCATATTCTGTTTATGTCCTTGTATTGTTGATATTTTCTGTAGGGAAAATATAGAAAGTTCAGTATGGTTTAGTGTACCTTTTTTTTTTTTTTTTTTTCTGGTCTTCATACTATAACCATGTCACAGTACGCTTTCTAACACCGTGGCGCGCCGGCAGATTGTAAACACTTCTCAACGGTCAGGCCGTAGGCACAGAGCCGAAATAGAACAATTTTCCCCCTGAAGGGAAGAAAATTGATATTTCGGGTCTTGCCATAGGCCTGACCTAGGTAACGCCTTGCCGGCGCAAGAGTACTGAAGGGCGAGCGGGGAATCGCTCGCCACTAGCCAGCGCGCGCATCGCTCCAAGGAGCATGGGCGTACAGAAAGGGGATTAGGACGAAGGTAAGGGGGACTAGAGACGCACACATACTGACTCCGGAGCTGTAGATAGGGAACGTAATCTCAACGGTCAGGCCTATGGCAAGACCCGAAATATCAATTTTCTTCCCTTCAGGGGGAAAATTGTTCTATTATCAGTTTTTTTACCAACCTCCATAGCATGGTATCAGTTTAATGCAAAAAACAAAAACGGTGAAAAAACATAACCTAACTCATCGTTTGTCATTTTCGTTAGACCCACTATTTCCTACTCTAGAGCAGTGGGACGGTATTACCAGGTGTTGGGCAGTACCTAGTTACTTCGAGTAACACTAATGAGGCACTAGAAAGTGGCTATGTTTAGTTTGAGACATTTCCTATCTTACTCAGCTCTTATAGGATCTGATTTGATGAGGGTATGGATCTACTATGCATGCCATATGTCTTCATGATTTGCTTTGCATTCATCAACACGTGTTTGAGCATTCTGGATCTGTATTATTTTAAGCTTCTTAGTTTATAATACAAAACCATACAGAAGATACATACTTAGAACTCGAGAGAAGTACGTTTGCTTACTACGCTTTACACTTGCTTTGTACAGCGTTCATATCGCAACTTCGGAAATATGTGTCATCTTCCTCGCTTCTTTGCCAGAATATGCCGTTCGTATAAATATAATTATTTATAATAAACCCCGAGTCTATTTTAGAAGTGAAGGTACGTCGGTATATATAATTTATATAGCCATTTTATAGCATGCAATAGGACTTCGGCCTATATTTATTTTTCAACACACTGCAGCTGTACATAAGCATTTCTAATGTATCTCTCTTTAACACGCTTTTTTATGATTATATGATTCGGATTACAGTCATGTATGTATGGCCAAAAATAAACACTAAGAATGGGTTATTAGCTGTATCTTTCATGCCTTTACTTTCTAGTTGTTAGTCGAATATTATTCAGTTTTATATACCCTCCTACATTATTTTCTAAGACTTCGACACATCAAAACCTAATAGCTTTTACTATCAATCAAAATTTGCGGCTCTCTATGACATAAATTTGACCAGTGAGAAGGCGTTTTTGAAGTAATGGATTTAATGAAAATGGTGCCTAATTAATTCTTTGAGAAAATAAATAAAATTACAGAATGCTTATTATTTAAGAAACGTCCAGTTTAGTAAATATTGAATTAACTTGACTACCATGCGAAAAACCGTTTTCTAACTATTCTTAAGGTCAACACGTGTTTAGCGCTAATTGTCCGCGCACCCCTGTCGCCCCTGATAATCCGCCCTTGGATTCAAACCATGTAGGGCTCTGGCTCCTGGGCAAGCAGGGGCTTGAGGTCTGCGTCTGAAAAATCCCTGGGGTAGGGCAAAATCCACTTTGCCCTTAGAAAAGTTGGAGTGGGCGAGGGGGAATACTCAGACATTTTTATTTCAATTGACTTCTTGAATAATTAGAAGTCCCATCAGGCTGGAGCCCTGAGCACGTGCCCACATATACATGAACTTTTCATAATTTAGTCGAGATCTACAAGAGATATCAGTGATTTTCAGAAACCCTTGGCAGTATTTGCAAGCGCTTCAAAATGAGCGTATCTGATTTGGTCAATGAGATATGTTTATGAAATCTATTAATGCAATATCATTAAACAAATCTTATTCTAATCCTAATCAGCCCTGAATCTTATTCAAACCATGGATGGATCTCAAAGTGTGAAAGCTACTGTAAGTACATTCTCTACCCTCCTTTGTTTCAAACCATTAACACCCTCATCTGTTCCTTCTCTCTACTCCCCCGTTTCACATATATCACAATTACCCACCCGCATCCACTAAGAAACCCTAAGATTTCCCATCCCCGACTTACTTTCCGGTCCCTTTTCAGTCACAGGTAGCCGTCCTCAAGTCTGTAAGGGTGGACACTGAACAGAAACTTGTGCACTGAGTGTTTTTTAGGAGAAAGACGATTATCCGGCTTAAAGGACCAAACGCGTCGAAAGCGAATCAAACACTGACCGGTCTCGCAAGCTGGGGTGCCGAAGCTTTGTTCGGTGATGATCGGAAGAGATCGGTGGACAGGGTTTCCCGCGTCGAGACGGATCTGGCGTTGTCAGATCCTTCAAAAAAACCGGAATCTGATTGAATTTCAACTTTCTGGATTAAAAAACGTTTAACTATCGATACAACCTTGTGAATGACTAACACCTTCGAACTAATGGTCAAAAGTTCTTATGGGTATGCGGTCAAGAAGTCTGTAGCTTCACAGATCTGTCAAAAAAGCAGGGTCTAATTATACGGGTAATGCTAGGCTCACTAATTTGGAAAATATGCTTCCTACGCTGCTCGTCAACAAAAAAGTTTATGCTGGGTCCGTGCGTGAAAGCTCACTCAAAATTTGTAGCATTTTAAAGTTTCTACGACCGGAAGCGCCCAAGCGCAAATCTGGTTTTCTACGGTGGTCAAGTTTTTTTTATGAGAAAATCTATAATACTGGGGCATCGTTACTGCTATAAGCAAATTAAAGATGTCTTGTACGAGAAGCGGTCGTACTGGCCAGTTATAAATGTACGAAGTTCGACAGAATGGGAGGCGGAAGCTTGACGAGTCCGTTGTCAGGATCAACACGAGGCGGTATCATGTAGGATAGCTCTGGGGGGCAAAGCTCCTTGACATAGCAGTAGAACAGAGTCAGATCACCGATTGCTTATCAGTGCAAAAGCATCACGAAACTGTCTGTTCGAGAAGCGTCATCCCAACACCCCAAATATGTGAACAGTCGTCATGGCTACACCTTAATTGGGCCTTGTACATAGTGAGAAGTGTATGTGGAGAAAAGTAATTCTTAGCCCTAAACGAAGAGCGTAAGTCCTAGGCAGACTCGACTAATAAAGACAATGTTGAAACCAATACCGATCCAAGGGTAACACCCGCGACATAAGTCGAATACTGATAGAACGGGATCATACATCAACAAACTTATTTGTTAAAAGTCAAAACAGTCGCCAAAAGCTGTAAAAAAGTGATAGAATACTTTTACTGGTTATTCTAATCCCTTGTTTTCGATAGTTGGCCTCCAAGAAGTTCCATATACGCTCGAGGAGTTTTCCCAACACTTGGCAACATCAACTCCTGAACTCTATGTAGTGAAAAGCATCTGATAAACCAACTTCGCGCATGGCTACCTAGACCGTCCTGATCGATCTCCTGTCAACTGTTTTTCCAATGCCTACCATTTCTTCTGTACAGTTTTATACTAGATTTTCTACGTCATGTCGCCGATAGTTCAACGAATAGTTTTAGCAGTTTTAGCAATCAGTGGTGTGTTTTCCACCGATATAGACCTGCAAACGTGTATAGATAATTTTAATGTTCACCGGGATAAAATAATCAGGACGCAGGATTCCCAAAATATGGGTGCGAAATATCTAAACGAGATCGACCTGGGGTCCAGAGAAGAATGTTTGAGGCTGTGCTGTGAGACCGACAACTGTGATGTTTTTGTTTTCGAAGAAAAGGTTTGAGACGACTGCTTATTTCTTAGATTATAGACTTGAAATCGGAACTCAGAAGTATACTCATACAACATAAAAACATTATTTTCTTAGCTATTTTTGACCACGAAGCAGAAATCGTTCGTCTTGTTATTTTAACACAAAGAAAATAAGAAGAAAGATCTATACTTACTCGTAGATAGGGCCAACTAAGACATTCTAGAATATATATGCAATTGCAGAAAATGTTATCGTTGGATTAGTTGAATGTGCAAACAATCTGCTAGACAAATTAAAAAAATGCCTTTTCCTTCTTTCATATTGATACTTCTTATTGCTTATTGCTAATAAACTAAAGCGGCTTTAAATACCTACTGCGATACCGAGGAACAAACCATTCAAATTAATACATCCGTCTGGTAGTTTTGCGTGGGGGTGAAAATCATACAGAAAAACTTAAAGGACTTGAAATATTTTCATCGACTTAGTAATCTACAAATTGAACCACTTCATCTGATACTCCATTCAGTCTCATTTGCTTACTTTGGATTGCTCACCCCAACCTTCTCCAGCTATATACTTCCAAACAGTTGAACCGAGTTCCATCGTAGTTAAAAATTATCTCGTCAGACAAGACTTTCACCGTAAATGTACGAAAACTGAATGCTTCTTTATCACCAAAGAATACACGCAGCCACCACGAAAACTTAACAGAAAAACCTGACCATTCTATCACGTGTTGTTCATGGCAAGATAAATCGATATGTAAAAAATTCTTGAATTCTAATAAACATACTTGGTTTTTTCCTTTTTTTTAGTCACTCAGTATACAACGACACCCAAGGCTTAACTCGCAACAGTTCACTTGAGTCGAGAGTTAATATTTGTCAAAAATATGACGATCTCCAACTACTCTACCTTTGCTAAGTTGGTCATCATTCCCATCAAATACGATCAAGATTCTGTGCAATCTACAGATAAAATATGTCGACCCATCTAGCGTTCGCATAGTGTTTTGGTCATGGTTACAGAGACGAAAAGCAATTCAAACGAGTTAATATTTGTTTGAAGACATCGAAACGGACTAGATGCATATTTCGACTATGGTTGTTAAAAATTATGTGGACTCAAAAAACAACTTGAGTTTTTGAAAATGTTCTCACCATGAAAATGATTTGAGGACGACCAAAAGTGTACTGCAGATCTACTTGCCTACGACTTAAAATAATCAGATAATTTAAGGACGTCATAGAATAAAGCTTGATTTTTATTGTGCATGTTTTTTTTCGAAATTGATAGATGCTAGACAAGAATGGCGTCAAGTAGGTTGACTCGGCACTTTCCACGCAACCCCGTAAGGATTATGTTCGTCCTTTGAGTCAGCTACAAACATGTATAACAAAAAATTAAATGGGTCAAATCAGCCACGATATTAAAACATCCCTGCCGGCATCGTCCTTGCATCACATCGTCTTGACCGACCACGTGTCTTGTTTATAACTATTCGTCTAAGTTATAAGGGCTAATGTACGGCAAATCCTGGATGTGTGAAATATGTATTGAAGGTGCATATAATGATTGGGGCTGGAAGCGTATAAATAAACTGCCGCCAAAAGTGAGATATATTTTCCCCTACCCCTACAACTCGCGATTTTCAACCCCAATTTTTTTTCTGACAATGATCAAGTCAAAAACCAAGTTTGATCGATTTTAATTTTTTTCGTATTTTTGCCTCACCTCTGGATCGATTTTCAAAAATTACAAGCTTTTTCGTTCTTGCTTATAGGCGATCCAAAGATGACGGAAATGAGCGACACCGTTTATCGTGATATACCCGTATAACATTCAAAAACATCTCATATTCGAGATTTTTCGCGATTACAATACTTCCTCGCTAGTAGGCGTCGAAAGTAAGTGTCGGCGTCTGAATGACAAGAAACATAGCTTAGGAATATTTATTTTTGTAATAAGTCCGGCTTTAAACAGAAATACCTATAAGAGCATTCAAATTCATTTTCACGATCATTGCACTTTTTTGGCTTATAGCGTGGGAAGTAAAGTTTATATTCTCAGACGTCAGTAGCTCTCTAGCATTAACAAGACTTCGTTGCCGAAAACTTTTTTGCGTACAATTTATTTATAAATTAAGCAACTTTGTTGAAAAGTAAATGACACAAATCTGGGTTTGACTAACAGCATTTATTTATTTGCGTCCCTTTGAGAGTTCATTTCTAATCTAGAAGCTTCACAATTAGTCTTTACCCAACGCATACTGCCGATTATTCGTGTTTACTGCCAGTATTTGCTTAATTATAATATAATTTGAGAAGTTTTTTAAAAACATTGTTCAACCAATAATGTTTGTCCCAATTTTGATCACCTTGCCATGGGTTCTCAATTATCTACGTTTTACAACATCAAACACTAGCACCAATCTCATTGACGAATGCCTGATGATGGCAGCATAGCCTGTCGAAAGCTTGAGTATTTGTAAGTCAAAAGGGTACACCTAGCATAATTTGTCGACATCCCCAAAGACAAGTCTTTCACTTAGCTAGTTATTATCGACAATAACTATGAATCGTATATATATGTTCTTTGCTTCCATCTGCCGAATAGAAAGGAAAATATATTAAATAGATACAGTTACACAGGAAAAGTAAAGATTATATTAACTATTTATACAATATCCGTAAGGGATACATCTTTTCCAACTGATATCAAACTATACATTCTTGTTTTGCAAATCTGAGTAAATCTATAATTCTCTGTCTCACAACTTTGAACTCCAAGCTATCCAAAGACATCTGGAACTGTTCGTAAAAGTCTTTGCTAACTGCATTTTCTTTCCCTAGACCAGTCAGCTTCAGAATCAACATCGATATATACAATCCATACTTTGCTATTGCTTTCCAGTGATCTTCGAAGGTATCTTGGGAGAAACAATATTTGATTTCACAAGAAAGTTGTTGTAGATAGCTTGACAGCTCTTCATAGTATATCTTGAGGTAGTCTTTGTATATTTGTAAGTCTTCTTTAGAGCTATTGACGAATAGGAAGTAAGCGACGTCTCTTATTGGAGATCCCGGCTTTGCAATCTGAAAATAGGTGATTTCTAGTTTTCTTGTACCACTCATTTGCAAGGAATGCACAATGGACGTGCGAGGTGTCACAGGGTGACGTAATTTCAAGTTTTCAGTTGAAGAGATATGGTTTGCGGCGCCATTACGCATGGTGCGAAGAGGTTGACAACTTATTGAAATAAAACGTGATATTTTCACGTGTTTTTTTTGTACCTGAACAAATCAAGATAAAGTTTTTCCTAATTTTCTTGAAAACTAAACAACCGATTTAAAAAATCGAACGTCAAAATAAAGAACTTCGAAACACCTTTCAACCAAGCTATTAGTCGATACCCGTTGTCACTTAAAATTTTTAAGTGGATGACCCTGAGGGCAGAGGGTGAAAGGGAGTGAAGTAGTTTTTGATTAAAAAGTTGACCCCATGACAAATCTTTTGACGTGTCTCAACTTTTTTTCTTTTAATCAGCGGGTTTCGATAAATCCGTGATGGGAGGTTTTCAAATGAGCACCCTGTACAAGGTGAATTAACATAGACGGGCAAGCGTATATGTACATGGCAACGAAGTATGTCTAGACCTATGCTCGTATGAAGTTTTTTTCATATTTTATCGTGCCGAGTCTCCAACCCCAAAAAATCTTCTGTAAGACCCTGCGTAAGTTACAAACGAGGACCTTAGGATGTTTTGCCAATTAACAGCAGTATTTATATAACTTTCTATACTGCATCATTACAATTTGCGAAAACTAAAAACCCATCATTACTTTATAGCCTTCTAGTTCTATTTCAGTGGTCTGTAATTTTTTTACCTGAAAATCAACTAGCATTGCATCTACTGGTGTCATAGTTACATCTTTATACTTATATAATATATTATTGCACCAACAATCTCCATGGGCCAATACCAAATGATACTTTTCATCTGCCATTGTTTTCAATATAAATTCTTCCCCAATAGCTTCCATCTCGTCCAAAACCTCTTTGGATTCTTCGTCATCACCTGCCAGCTCAGCTCCAGCTTTAACACAAGCTTTCACCAGTTGCTTCAAGTTTTCTGGAGTGGAGGCGAATGGTTTGAAACCATCTAAAACAAGGCTTTGAAATACTTCTGGCTGCTTGGTTTTCATTGCTAGTGAGACTGAGTGAAATCTGGCGAATTCCTTGAGGCCTTCTATCAAGTGATTTCTGTCCATAGGTACCTATAAGTCAAAAAAGAAAATCAAAATGACATTTGTGAGAATAGTTGAAAATTGTGAAACTTATTTTCAGCATTATTGGCATTATCTCCTGAAGCTTATCTTCTAAAACTGTTTTTTAGTAAATAAGATAATGTTCTTATTTTATTTTTTACACTCAAAAGGATTTCATCATTGATTAAAGGATTTAAATTAGCAGAACACAAAAATGACTTTAGAGAACTACTTTGAAAAGAGAGTGTTTAGTTCAGCTGGGGCCTCATTGATGAGGAGACTCTCTAATGCCTATTTCAATTGACTATATTCTGGTGGAATACGATAATTAATGCCTGAAGATACCAAAGTAAAATAGGCACTTTAGACGCGTCTAAAAGGGTTTGAAGATCATATAACTTTTTACGGTTTTTGGCGGGTCACAGTAAATGTACAAGAATTGCTTTCATATATCCATCTTCCTGATACATCACATATCAATCGACCTCTATGCGCGGACATTTATGTAAAGTCAAAGGCATTCATTTTGCAGTTTTGTCTCACTGCCATGCACATTTTCTCGTCACCGTATGTGTTCGACACTTATACCTGTCGCTGTCGGTATGAAAATTTGTTTGCCATGTTTTACGCATGCTGATCTCCGTTATAAAACACCGCAGTGCCTGAATATACAACTACAATGCCGACAGTCTGTATTAGAAATAATTTCAGAAAATAAGTGAAAACAAGGATCCTCTATCACCCAATTCATGTCTGTGTGCAAGAGCGAGTAGCAGCTTCGATACAGATTGGTTTGCGCAGCTTACAATTTCGCTTATGGAGGCACATGGTACAGTTAATCAATCTATTTACTAATTTCGTTTGGTATTACGACGTACCGCCAAAAACCGTAGATAGATGAAACAGTAACAGCACCAAACATCTTAACTCGTTTTCGTGATCTGCTACTGTTTCATAAGTGGTACTAGTATCTTTCAGATCCCTTTTTCAGCGCCAGAACACAGTACATAGTTGACTATCTTTTGGTAGAATACATTAATTAATGCTTTAATGCATCATGGAAGTTGTTTAAAAGAATTCAAAATTGTTTTGAGTAGCATTGAAATGGATCTTTTTTAATGAATAGGAAATCGTCATGCTTTTGTTTTAATTTTAAACGATTACATGTATAATATCTCACAGTTTATGCAAAAAATGAATGAAACTATTTCTTATTTTATTCTAATAAGCATTCCTTGATTTTTAACATTTGATTCACATATTTTCCATGAATTATATTTTTGCGTTTTTCCTTGTTACTTGATGTCAGAGTGAATTGCACTACAAAATTCTTACCTGCTTATTCCAAAGCCGATACTCCTTCACTTTCAAATTTTCCAAAACAATACAACTGTGCCCCCAACTTCCTAAATACTTCGGCACGCCAATGGACATATCACTCCCACTTTCTTTAATAAACTCATCGAATTTTCTAAAAACTGTTTCATAGATGTAGATTTCTTTTTTGTACAACGTATCGATTTTTAAATTTTGAAAGTTCTTTTCTTGGTTTACTTTCATTATAAGATCAAGTCGTTTTGAACTCGTGTCATCTTTGATGGTTACAAGGAAAATGTTTGAAAGAAAACCTTCTTTTTGAGTATCTTGAAATTCGATGTCGTATTTTTGAAAACCCTCATTTTGAGCTATTTTGTCCAGGAGGTGCCTATGTTCTTCTTGTAACATCTCCATCACAGACTCAGCACCTTAAATCAACGAATTTAGACTATACTCTAATCATAGACGAAAATATCCCTGGTTTGCGAAATAATTGAAAAGTCTGATTTTATTGATGCAAGTTGTTCAAGGGGATAATATTTAAAATATGAACTCATAAAATGAGTACACCAATTTTTGCGGGAAAACCTTTTATTCGACAACAAAGAATGAGAAAACGTGTTTTTTGGGATTCAATCGAAATTGTTGGCAGGAACGGAAAAACTCTTTATATAGGATTTTTAGGTATTCATAAGACCTACAAAATGAGACTACACGTAAAAAGATCCGGCTAATAGCAATAAAGTTATGGCCGAAAACCGAGGCAAACGGCAGGTTTTCGTAGGATTCGTACTTCTAAATAACCACAACAAAATTGGAGTAGATTGATCAAGTGGTTTTTGAGAATTTATAATTGTTCATCCCAAAACACCTGTTTATACAGGGCATTTTATAGCTAAATACACTAGTTTACCTTGCCGATATGAATCGTAAACCATTCCGGAAGATAAAAGTTATTTTTATGCAAAAAAGGATGGGTTACGATTTTTCTTCTAAACAAATTCTTTCGTATATGTGAGTAATTCGCAACAAAAGATGATAGACACATCCACTTTATTTTAAAATGTGTATAGTAACGTATGTTTTAATATCGTAGCGCATTTGTTCAATTACAAATACAAAATGTTTGAATTTGTTTAGAAGAACAAAACGTAACGTTTGTCTTTGTATAAAAATAACATTTATCTTTTGGGATGGTTTGTGATCCATATTGGCAAGGTGAACACGTGTATTTTGCTATTAAATGCTCTTTGAACAGACTGTATATTGCTCAATAAACTAGTAGTAATGGCCGGAAAACAGCTGTTTTGGGATAAACAATTAGAAATTCTCAAAAAGCACTTGACCAATCTACTCCAATTTGTGGTTATTTAGTAGTACGAATACTACGAATTTGAATAATTTCAAGTGTCTGCGAGAAACCATCGTCGCATTACCAACAAGTGCCAAAACCAGCAGTTTGCCTCGGTTTTCGGCCAAAAGGTTTTTGCTATTAGCCAGATCTTTTTACGTGTGGTCTCATTTTGTAGGACTCATAAATACCTAAAAATCTTATATGAAGAGATTTTCCGTTCCTGCCAACTCTTTCGATTGAATCCCAAAAAACACGTTTTCTCAGTCTTTGTTAGAATAAGAAGTTTTCCCACAAAAATTGGTGTACCCATTTTATGCGTCCATATTTTGAATACCGCTTTGAACAACTTGTACCAATAAAACCAGACTTTACAGTTATTTCGGGGAAATTTGCTAATATGATTAGACTACTAGGCAGAAGGAGCAAGCCTATGATTTGTTTGCTTCCAAAATCAGTCAGGATTAAAGTTCAATTTGACATTTTCACGGGAATTTCGTACTTTTCTGCGAAAATATATAAAAATAAGTGGGTTTCATAAAGTCCTAGTGCTCCAGACAGTGGTCAAAAATGGTGGAGGTTTCTGTGGAATGTAAAAAGCCAGCTGAACTGAATAATCGATTGATGAGTGTTGAAATGTCATAGTCATCGGCGCTGCAAAAGGGCATGTATGTTCTTGGGGTTTTACCTAGACAGTTTTGAAGTAATTTTGATTTCAGTCCACTTCTTGGATCTGAGTGCTCAGCCTGAGTCTAAGGTTTGTTAACAATACTTAACAATAACATTGAAAAATGACAAAAAGTATAGGAGACAAACTAAATATTTTGATGGACACCGAAAAGGTCCAACTGAAACTTTTACTTTGAGTCTTATCCACTTTAGTTTTGAATTTGAAAGTTTTTAGGAAGGGGTCTTTCACTTTATAAATGCATAGTAACTTTACGTTCCCATTTCATTGAGATATTGAGATTCTAGTGAGGAAGCTAAGTAGGTCTCAAAAAATCTGAATATCAAATCAATTAAATTACTTCCTAATCTTTTAAGCTCAACTAGGTATGTATTTGCTTTTAGCCAAAAGTATCCCGTCGAATTACAACTATTTAGAAAAACCGAGTAGAATTCAAGCAAGGTCTCCCATTGTTTCCAACATCAGGTATTCTGCTATTGCTGTTGTTTGATGAAGACTATTTTTTGTATTTTTCACCTTCCAAAACCACGAATTAGGTAAAATTAGTCATGTTCAATACGGTTAAGAAATATTTACTTTTGTTTAACGTATTTAATAAATATTTACTTTCTTTTTTTACTTATCTAATTTATCTCTGTTTATTAACAGTAAATGAGCAATCCACTTCGCAACACAGAATTTCTGCCATGCTTAACGTAAGTGCATCCAGTCTGATTGGTCTACTTGAATACCTCTCCAGAGAAAAAATATATGCCGATGTATTGGCTTGTCACTTTGCTAGGCAATGGTAGATAAATGAGTCAAAAGCTGAAGCTACACAACTTTTGCTACAAACAATGCATTGAAATCATATAGCTTGGCTCGTTCTAACCTATAGGAATTCGTTGCTTTAATCACGGAATACCTACTTGAAACTTTCTCACAATTTTACTGATACGCGTGACAACCCGAGATAATTTAATAAGTTTATTCACTAGATACTAGGATATTTATGTCACTTCACGGTTCAAAGTTTGCAAATTACTATAAATTTAGACTACGCTAGTCGTACGTAAATGTAAACTGAGAGCATATCTTGATAAGGCTGCTAGATGCAGTTCAGCGTCCATTCTCACATGTGATCAACCGTTATTTATCAGTAGCGTAGGCGATATTTTATTAAATGAGAATAAGCAAAAATACAGGTTGTGAACGTTATGATAGTCATTATTTGAATGGGTGATAGAGGGGGTTAAAACGGCATTTTTTAGAGAGAAGCGACTTTAAAGTAAAATAAAATCTGACAACGCCGTAATGCCAGACGCAAATTACGACGGAACGCAGTGTAAATAAAGATGGAGTTTGTTATTTTTGGCTCTTAGGTATTATTTCATTATTTGATAATGTACTCGTAAAATGCTAACAATAAAAACAACGGACTTACCACTGTCTCAGCGCTTCACCTGGTGCGTGAAAGTTTATTGAACGTATTAAAAAAATCCACTTATAAATAGGGAACACAATTTTGATACATACATTGTTTTTCTTTTTAAAACCCACACTGCACTTTTTTGTATTTAAAGAAGGTGTTCAAAATGTCGTCCTCCACTTTCGACACAAGCTTCATTACGACAAACCCAGTTTCTTCTTACTCTAGGTCCTCGAAGTTGTCCATTTATTATTTCAGCCGCATTAAAAAGTTTTTCGCGAAGTTATGCTTCAGTTGTTATTGGATCAGCCCCATAAACCATCGCTTTAAGTTCTCCCCTATACCAGAAATCCATCGGATTGAGGTCAGGAGATCTTGCTGGCTATTTTCGAGGATCAGGAGCATTTCTACCGATCCAGCGATTTGGATAATGTTCATTCAACTACTGAGTGACGCCTCTAAAAATGTGTGGTGGTGCCCCGTCATGAAGAAACCACAAATTCTGTCTCCGTTGTAATGGCATGTTGTCTAAGGTCTGTTCCAAAAGTTCTGGTAGGTTATTAGCTAGAAAGCTAAGGTGTCCTTCTCCTGACAACTTTGGGGCTAACTCGAAAGGGCCAATTACCTGATCGTCAAGAATACCCGCCCAAATATTGATTTTAAAACATTGTAGGAAATTACCTTCACGAATGGTATGAGGATTTTCTTGGGCCCATGTGTGAGTATTATGGAAATTTAATATCCCGTCTCGCCTAAAAGTACATTCGTCCGTCGCTAGAATGTTTTTAAAAAAATCCGGATTTTTTGTGCAAAAACCACTGACAGAATGTTAGTCTGCGAGGATAGTCTTCTGGTAACAAGGCCTGCACTCGTACATGGTAGGGATAAAGCAAATTTTCCCGTAGGATTCTATGGACTATTGTATGCGATGGTCCTACGCGGCGGCCTAGTTCTGCCTTGATTTCCACGATATTTAAAATTTGTTCCTCCTGCTCTACAGTAACCTGTCTTTCACGAGTGCGAATATTAGTGGGCTGAACACTTCCTGTATCTCGAAGTCTTTGGTACACTTGCACAAATGTCCTTCTGTCTGGGTGTACTCGTTGGCGAAATCTGTCGCGATAAATTTGAGCTGCAAGATTTGAATTCTGACGAGCTTCACCGTAAACTAACAACATGTCGGCGAACTCTTGATTTGAGAACATTGTAAATAAACACGACGACGTACGCGAACAAAAACAAAACAACACGCCCAATGCTCTGCTCGACAAAACGATAAAGTAATTTATCTATGCAAAACGGTAACTAACCACTGTTACCGTTTGCGGACGATTGCCGGTTCGATAATAGTGATGAAAGACCGACGCGCTGTTGTCATGTGTGTTTAAATATTTAATTTAATGAAACTTACTTACTTACTGACTACAATTTATTTGTTAATTACCCAATTTAAAAACGTTTTAGATTTTATTATAAAAATTAGTCAGATTGTGGTGATTGTGGTCGATATAAAGCACTTAAAGTTGTAAACTATAAAGCCATTTAGACAAAAATCCATTGACTTTTGGACCATGGGTCATATGAACTTTTTGACTTGTTTTAACCCCCCTATTACCCATTTCAATAATGACTACCATAACGTTTACACCCTGTATATCGGATGCTTTTTTGAAGTATAGAGATGAACGATAAAAAATCGTTATAAAAGCCTTCTTGGGGGAGGGGCGCCATCTTGCAACTTTCAACTGTTATTGTTAATTTTAAAACTAAGCAAACCCTGCATGGAAGTAGAATAAATGTAGGTCATTTGGTTTGCATTAGCGTGAAGGAGAATTAGTAATGCAATACGTAACATACTGAGAGCCGAAATTGAAGCTGCAGTTTTGTCTACCCATGAAAGGCTTCAGGAATGCATAGAGCTATAGAGCGTGATGGTCAGCATTTCGAGCATTTACGGGGGCATTAGAAACCTTTTTTTTAATCGGTCCTTTTTCAGGGCCACAACTTAATAATAAAAAGAAATTTCAGGAAAATTATTTTAAACAAAATAAAGACTTGAGGGCTTTCTTTGGGTCAAATTTTAGGTTAGAAACAAGATATCGAGATGCGGTTTTCGGGAGCTTGTTTAGAAATTAATTAGGTACTTTTTCATAAAAAAAAATTATACCGATGCATTTAATTTTTTGAGAAAATTAACCGTTTCTATCGGAATGTCGAAAAAAGCCCTCTCGCAGCCACATGTGGAACTAACGAAACTTCAAATATTATAACATTCATAGCCCAAGAATAGCTCCTTTCAACTAGCCCAAGTTTGTTAAAATTGGCTCAGCCGTTTCGAAGCAACCTTTGAATACCCCCCACCACTTTATTTTCAGAGATATAGCAAAAATTTTCAAACAAAAAAGGTTCAGATCGTCCTCGAATTTAAAGATCAGGTATTTTGTTATTATGTTATTATAGCGGAATTTACAGAAACATTACTTCTTTAGTTTCAAGATTCCGGTTACGCCCCTTAGCAGCCATTTCAGAAACTTGAAAATATTTTCCAGGTTTTTCTTTTGGCCGTTTTAGTGATAACTGTTTTTGCTTACAAGCTTGCACGCTGGATAGGTTCCCGGATACAGTACCTCGCATTCTTAGTTGGCCACCCTGTACCTCTAGAAAAACCATAACACTTATTTCCGTTAGTCTGTCTGTCGGTCGTCGGTCAGTCTGTCCGCTAATTCTTGGCACGTCTATAACTTGTTAGGTACCGCCAAACGAAACAAATTAAAATCGCTCAAACTTGACGTTGCTGAGGAACCTAATCCTTTTCAGACAAAAAATTGCGGGGGTTAAAAATTGACATAGATTTCAATGTACATTTAACATTAAAACTTGAATTAACTTTTCGATACACGAGTGCCGGGCAGCTCAACAAGCATACATCTGATTCGAATGCTAAGGGAAAACTCATAGATGATGCGTGTATCGGTGTTTCCATGTATGCAACGACGTGCTGGTTTTGCTAGTGCCGTGGCAAGCAGAGATGCCAGATTTCTGGTTGGTCGGTACTGTTGGCAGGGCGGTAGGCTAGATCGCAGTGTTGTCAAATCTGTGGAGACGATGCCTGTTTGACTGACTTGATCCACTTAATTTCTTTGTTATACATGTTGGAGGCTATTTTTTTTTCTAAGAGGGAGTAACTTGTGTCGAATATAAATCTTTAGGATGACAGCGTTGCGTAGGAAGTGAAGAGTCAACTTACTTGAAACCTTTTTCCATACTAGTAAAGTTATGCAGCATACCAACTTTTCCCTTTTTTCAGAATTCTGGAAGCTGTTACCTCTTCCACTGTGGCCCACCAGAAGACTTCAAATGCAAGTTTACCCACCACGTAAACTATTCTAGTGCAGTGCTATCCATCAACAGGCATCTGCCAGATTTAGAAAGTCAGATCAAGCTCACTAAGCATGAGCAGGATCTCACCAAACTTAGGTAGATACAAAACACTTCAATACAATCTATACTACATGAGTTAAATGTAGGTCAAAACTAGTTTATTGGTGTTATTTTAAAAAATAATGACAAGCGACATCACTCGGTGATATAAAGATAATTCAGGATACATTACGTCTGTCCGGTGACGATTCAGAATAATCAATATGCTGCTCTCGCTCTCGTCCGTCCGACTAAAGACAACCAACTACGGATAGCTCTTTTGTGCTTTTTGGCTACTCATCAGCATGGACTAGGCTTAGTCTCAGAGGGACAACGAGCGAAAGCATAGCAACTATCCTCTACCCAAATTATGAGATCTATCGAAATAAGACAGCGCAAAGCGCCATCTATTACCAGAATCGACCAGTGAAAAGTGGAAAATTGAATGGGTTAGAAAGAAAAGGAAAAGCTATATGTTTACACAGCATTGTTTGTCACCAAAATTAGTTTTAGTGAATACTTTTGCCTACCAAAAGAAGCTGATCACGTTTAGCAGGCCAGAAATACTATTTGTGTTCAGATGTGAATCGCTCTGTTATTGTTAATAGGCAGGGATAAATTAAATAAGGCAAAAAACTAAAGTAAATATTTACTAACAGTTATAGCACATGAACAAAATTCTACTTAATTCGTGATTTTGGAAGGTGGAAAAATTATCTTCATCAAACAGCAGCAATGGTAGAATAACTGATATTGGAAATAGCGGGATACCTTGCTTGGATTCTACTCGGTTACTCTGAATAACTGTGATCTGCAGATTCTTGGCTAAGATCATCAAATACCTAGTTGAGCATAATACGGAAATTACTGCTATTATATTATTGTCACTATATTTATCAAATATCAAGATTTAAAAGTTGTTTTATTAGTTTGATATTCACTGTTTTTTTGGGCCTATTCTCTTCCAGCTCGTATAAAAAGTCACGAAAACAATGTCATTGATTTCCGTCGACCTGTCGGTCTGTCCGCTATAACTTGGAAAGTACCGCTCGGGTTTTGATAAAATTTTCTCACAAGTTTACTATTATGCCATGGATGAAAAAACCTATGATAGATTTTGGAAATCGGTCCAGAGGCGGTAGAGCTAACATAAAAAAGCGAAATAAAATCAAAATCGGTCAAACCTTGCCCTTTGTCGTTTTAGATGCTCCTGGTCATTTTTGGAAAATTTTTTGGACGAGTTGATAATTGGGGTTGGGAATTGTGGGTGTGAGAGGGTATATCTCAATTTTTTGACGATAGTACAGTGATATGTTTACAACCCCGGTAATTTTACGCACCTATTTTTCGTATTTCACACATTATATTTCCCATTTAAACTTGAATGAGGGAGAAATATCTTCTATATGCGCCTCTCTACGGATTGGGTGGCGTCACAGTTTCCACCATGAGTGTCATTCTGTCACTGCCACGCTGCCGAGACTGACGAGTGAATCATTGACTAACGAGGTACATATGTGGGGACGACGTTGTCAGATGGACGGTATTATCGGTAAGCAGGAAAAAGGTGTTTAAGGACTAATTGTAGAGGGTCTAATTTGTGTCAAACATGATCGTTTATGAACTGATGACAGCATTGCATGGGCGGTCAACCAACTTGACGCCGCGTTTTTCTGGAAAATTGGGTTTCTACGCTTTTCTATAACAGTCGTACGGAAAACCGTCAAAGCTAAATTATTATTGTTTCTGAGCACACAAGAAGCATTAACATAGCAAATGAAATTTGATGTTTGGACATTTGGGGCCAACATCAGGTTGAGGTTTTGGGCACGGGCCTCACGTGACATATAGTTAAGAACCTAAATGCCTGACCTATTTAACAACAAATATTTCTTTTATTTTCTGAGTTTGATTCAAATTAGCAAGATTTTCACTCTTTTGTTTATTTTTAGGAGGCTAGAACCAGAAACAGATGTCCTAAAGACCGCTGTGTTTGATGAGAAGACACGTTCACTGTTTCCACAACTACGGTAGCTCCTAAGGAGGTAATGCCACTGAGGAAAAGCAAGTAGAAGAAGGTAAGGCATAGATAGTAGTTCGTACTTTTATACAGGCTGTTGTAATTAAAAAAAATTAATGATATGCACCCTCTTTACTTTATTCGGTTATTTTTTTAATGGTTTAATTCTACCATTGATACTGTACAACACGAGCTGTTAAAAAGGGAAGCAGCATGTCTTATGCAATTCCACTAAATTTTACCCTCCAGACCGACTTGAAATTAAGTAAAAAATCCAAAAAAGCATAGGATGCAGGTCTGGACTTTGGTGTTTAATTGTGTGATGTGTGTATTAATTTGATTTAACGTAGGGTTGTGGTGAGAGCACGTAAACGTAAATATGCTGAAAGTACTGAGCTCGAGACCTGGTTTTCCTACATTTTTATTATATTCTCAAATTGATCTGGAGAATCAATTCAGTGCATTTGAATATTAAATGCCGTTTACTTTAAAGCATGACTCTTGTAGGTATAACATCAGTTAGTAGAATTAGAACATTAAAAAATTACTGCAAAAACCAAATAAGGTGCATAATATTAATTTTCACGTTGATTTATATCTCTTGTATCTCTTTTTCTGCGAATAATCATAAATTCAAAGTATAACATACAGAACGTTCACTTGATAGGGTACAAGGAAATTAAGAAAACTTTTAGAAAATTTTTAGTTCCCAAATCACCTTTAGTTCAGTTTTAAGCTCTATTTGATAATGCTTGAAATGTATGAATTTCGTGTCGCATAACTGCTAAAAATAAGATATTTGCATAAATATTGTTTTACAAAAAATCTAAAATAGGCACAATCAATCTATTTGCTACTTAATTAGTACCATTCAGTGGCTTTTTTGTAGATATTCAAAGATTTCAATATCCAACCCGAAATGTGATTTTGATAGAAAACAAGAAAGTGAAAAAAATCGAGTCCGGCTCTGAATTTTCTAACCGTCCGTCTTTTACATTATCCCTAGGTTATTGTATAAAATCTAAGCAAAATCGGTTCAATAGTGCCGGAGGTATATGGTATCTATTAAAGTTTTGGCATGTTCAGATAAATTTGTAAGTACTGAATTTAGAACTCTTTTATGCCAAGGATTTATTGTTTCATTGAGCTGTACATGTCGCCATCATGTTCTGTGGCTTCTGTCAATATATTTTATACTTGTAGATCAGCGCATGACTACACAGTGGAGCAAGTCCGTAAATATTCAAGACCACGACTCGCACTGTGATCAAAAAATTAGCGCGAACTTTTAGTGAATCCAAAATTACACTTTAATGAAACCTGAGTCAAAATTTGTTTCTGGTTCAACTCAAAATTAATCCGTGTACCAAGTCAAAACGCCGAGGTGTTTCCTCTTAAACTAATACACTTTTGTTTTTCTTTGTTCTTCTCCTTTTTCTTCTCTTTCCCTTTCTTTTTTCCTTGAGATTTCTGGTTTCTGGACAACCAGAACTGACAGATTCGACTAACATACATTAGACAGTGACAAATAGGAAAAGGTCCAACAGACCGCCCAGACAAACAAATGACGATAGTTTCAGCATGGCTCGTTTTGAATCAAAACGTTTGGTTCTGTCTCAGATCATTTTATGGTGCAGTTAATTTGCATTCAGAATAATGGTTCGCTAGTGTTTTAAATAAACACTCAGCTATTTACGAAAGTGGAGATCTTTGTCAGCCTCGTACTCAATTGTGTAGGTGGCAGAACAGTTAGGCTT